CGCTTTAAGTTATCTAACACCGCGTATATGCCTTCAATCGATAGTCTGCCTAAAGCAAACACGTCACTAAACTGTGGCCACACAGCGAAGACTGACTAGTACGATTGATCTTGTCATTTTGGAACAGGTCAGAGTGCTGCGCTTCAACAACATCCAAGTCGAACCTTTTGAAATGTTGACAGTACTGAAGAACCAGTGACGACCAGGCTTCAATCTGCTTCTCACGTGTCGCTAGATTTGGTTGCAGCCTGACAGACAGCAAACTGTTAAAAGAAAAAACGGCAACCACAGACCATACGTAAAGAATGGCGGGAAATTGTATTGCCATGGCCAAGTGAACTGTTCCATATCGTGAAACGCACCGCAAGCTTTAACGCTCGAAACCTGGTACCACACAGTGCCAACTTCAGAAGTTCTGATTGACGATGAAAAGTGAATACCAAAATTTATGAACTAAACAAGATCGACAGTACTGGAAGAGAGACGCATATTCAATTCTGCACGTTTAACACGTCTAAGAAATCTTGCACGATAAAAGACCTAGGAGATTATGGTAGGTCCGAGCAAACTGAAATTCAAAATGCTATATACTGTGGACTGCAAATGGAAAACGGACCTATGCTTTGATGACAAATGAAATAAATGCAAAGAACATACAATACAGTATATAAGTACACACAAATTCACTTCTGGAACTCATAACTGGGCCAGAACCAGTAAGGAAAACCGTAGTAAGCCAAAAATAAACGATAGCATTGATTAACACAGACGTTCCTTTATGGACATGACAGCAATAATAAGCAAAATCGGAACAGTAATCAACGTGCGCAACGCAATGCATGAATGTCAAGAAAGGGACACTTTACGAGTAGAGTGAACTTTCAGTAAGGGTTATTATTAGTTACATTTGCAAGTGCTATCCTAATATATCTTTCTTCTATATCTTTGCTTTGAAAAATTTATGAACTGAACTGCAGAGAAACAATCGATTCGTGAACAGAAGTATGACCGTCATTATAAAAAGACAAACTTTAAAGCCTGGTGATGAAGAACATGATAACAACTGCATACTCTACTCGAAATTATGAACACCAGCATTAATAAGGACATAACTGCTCCACTGAAGAGAACTCTCAAGACAGCAAAAGAATTAAGTCATTCTGTCGATTTCAGACGCTATTCCCTTCGGAAGAAACGCTTCGAACGTACAACCTTAGAGACTTATCAAACTGCATAAATCGGAAAGCTTCTGATGGACTGTTCGTCATCGTCGAATCTTTCTTCAGAGTGTCGATACGGAATTCCTTTGAAACCGTCGTTGGAAATGATTTCACACCGGGTCAGAAGCTGTGAAAACATCCTCAACGAAAAGGAATGCTTCATTATAGAAAACGATAGTTTAAAATGGTAAAGCTGGAGGTGATGACCTCATTTAAAATCTCCGCCGAAAAGGTTCTCTTTATAGTACCATAACTTTTAAAACATACCAACACACTTAGATATCAACAATCGCTGAAAAGTCTATCCACTCCTGAACTAATTAAGATTGAAATGGCGCTATCGTCCGCATTGAGCTCTAAAGTAATTTTCATCGCCACCGATATCGCATTGCTATGAGCCTACATATCAGCTTAGCCAATGAAATCGCACTGAATTCCTTTAAAATTTCCGTCCTGAATATCTGCCTTAATAACATCAAAGCATGATCTTCTTCATCTTCCATGACAGTTTCTATTTTCGAGTCTCGGAGGCAGGCGCCGCAGACAGCGCTTCCAACATTCCTGATCCTGTGCCAGAGTCTAAGCTTCGACAGAAGGTAACTGGATTCTGAAGCAGACTTTTTCAATGTACTTGCACCAGGTTAATCTTCGCCGTCCCCTGTGCCTTCTGCCGGTCGGTAGGCCAAAAAACAGTTGCGCACCCTTATGTTCTGGAGGCATTCGCAACACATGCCCAAGCCATCGCAGCTGTGACTTCTCAATCTGGACAAGCAAAGGCTGTATTTCAAGGCTCTTCCGGATGTCACTATTCCGGACCATGTCGAGACGCGTAAGACCAGCGACTAGTCTAAGAAAGCCCATTTCAGCAGCTTCTACCCAGGTTCGAAGCATTTCTGTCATCGTCCACAACTCTTGACGACGGATACCAAGAGCTTGGTCTTCAAACTCAGCTCCGCTTTAGTCGAAACGGCTCGGGCTCATTCACGCAAAACGCCAGTGGCTCCTCCAATCCGCCAATCGACCTCTTCCTCAAATTTTACATCACCAATAAAAACGACTCTGAGGTAAAAGAACTTCTCTACCTGCTCCACTGCTCTCCGTTCATTTGAAGAGAGCAACAGAGAGGAGAACGAGAAAACATCAAACTTTCGTTTCCGATGCGTTCAAACGCATGCTGGCCACGTCGCACTCGGCTGCCGACCTTTTCCAGAAGCACTGTAGATCAGTTTCAGAATATGCCAGTAAACCAAGGTCTTCTGCAATCCGCAAACATCTCGTCTCTACATC